CAACCGGGGGGGGGGGGTTGGGGGGGGGGGGGTGTACTCATAGTCGTGCATGCCGTAGTCGTTTGACCATTGACCTCGCATCCCTATAAAGCCGGGACGGAGCACGCCGGGTTCTCACCGGACCAGGCTCTCACATCACCAAGCGCGAAGCGCCGTGAGGTATTTGGCGAGTCGCATGAAGGGTGAGCTGCATCCTGCTAAGGGTGTTCGGCATCTTGTGCTTACTTCCTTGCGTACGGATGGCAACTACGTATGACTTAATTTATTTTCTGGTGCTTTCACTTCCAGAGACAGTTATAAGCACTGTGTAACTGCCTCGAGGAAGCTTGACCATTTAAACACAACGTGGTGCGATCATCCCCCGTTGCGCGGAGTGAGGTTTCTCGACCCCGCACAACATGATCTACTCGACCACCATTATGGTTACCGCCAAAAAAAAAACAGAGGTAAAAAAAAAAAACGGTAACCTGGTTGCCGAGTTCACCAAGTGAATTAGCTTGTTTTACAACGTCGTTGCCAAGCGACGAAAACCCAATCCCGATGGCAAACACCGAGTGGGGGGCTTGTTTTACAACGTCGTTGCCAAGCGACGAAAACCCAAACCCCGGGGGGGGGGGGGGGGGGGTGCTCATGTGGTACGGGTGGCCAAAGTCGTTAGACCGTTGATCTCGCTTGCGTGCAAATGCCGGGACGGAGCGACATACCGGGTTCTCACCGGCCCGGGTTACGTTTCGCAAGGATAAACCCAAAACTGCCCTTCAGTTTGGCTTTTGTTGTTAAAAATCAGGGCCCCAAAAATACGGGGGGGGGGGGGTGTAGTCTTGTTTTTTGCATGCCTTAGCGGTAAGACCATTGACCACGCGTCCTCGAGAGGACGGAGCATTGTTCCCACAGGACGGATGGATCACCAATGGCCAATCGTTCCTTCCTACTTTGCCGGGAGCGCAAACAACTTGCTGGTCATCAAGTGCTCTGAAGAAGCATGGGTACAGACCACCGGCACAAAAAAACATCCCCACCTCATCTCGCTGTGCCCCCCCCCCCCCCCCGCCCCCCAAACCTCATAAGGAGGGTCTCTCTCCAAGAAATCCAAGAGCTGGTGGTGGGAAAGAACAAAGAACAAAAAATTCCCCCCCGAAACAACAACCAAAACCCCCCCAAGGTTGGCCCAAGGAAAACCCGGGAAGAAGGCCTCCCCATCCCCCCCCCCCCCACGGAAAGGGGTAACACCTCCCCCCCCGGGGGGGAAGGAAGGAGCGGGAACCTTTTAATTGTTCGGGGGGGCGGGGAACGGGGGGGTCCCGCTCTCCCTGGGAGGGGCGGCACTCCCTGCTGGCTTCCAAATAAGAACACCTCCCGGGGGGGGGGTTGAAGGGCCCTGGTCCGGAACTTGAACCCCCCGTGTCCAAGGGGACCTTCCAGGACCCCCCTGGCCAAAAAGTTTTTCCCCACTGTTTCTGAAAGGGGGACCCAAATTTGCTGCCCCCCCCCCCCCCGGTTAATTTTTCCCCCCCTTTTTTTT